TCTATCTATCTATCTATCTATCTATCTATCTATCTATCTATCTATCTATCTATCTATCTATCTATCATCCGTCTGTCTATCATTTAATTTAGCATTGTAATTTCACTGGTGTATGGATCTCTCAGGCAGCTAAGTGGCGCCATAGTGCAGAAAATGCTGGGCCTGGAGTCAGGAAGATTCCTCTTTCTGAGTTCACATCTAGCTTCAGACACTTCCTAGCTGTGTGACCCCGGGGCAGGTCACTTCGCCCTGTTTGCCTCAGTGTCCTTATCTGTAAAATGAGCTGGAGGAGGAAATGGCAAACCACGCCAGTATCTTTGCCAAGGAAACCCCATAAAAGGGTCACAAAGAGTGAGATGTGACTGAAGCAATGTAACAACAGTAACAAAACATGGATCTCTCAGTCAGTAAACTCTCTCTATCAAATGCAGATTACTCTTCACCTTGTACTTTTTGGAAAGTTGCTTGAGCACACCGAGAGTTTCAGTGACTTGCCCAGGGTCACACAGCTAGTCTATGTAAAGGGCTGGACTTGTCCCCAGGGCTTCCAACTGGTTCTATGCACTATGTCATTCACTCTCTCTCATTATATTCCAATATATGCATTTAAATATAATTATTCGAAAAGAGGCAGTGTTAGGAAGACCTGAGTTCAGATTTTGCCTTTGACACATACTGGGGCAAATCCCTTAATCTCTTAGTGCCCCAGTCAACTTTCTGAGATTGTAAATGGTGGAAGAACTGAAAATCTGCAGCTATAGATGGAGATCCCTATACCAATGAAATCACAGGCCCAGATCAAAGAATCTCTCTTCATTCCAACTCTTTCACCACAAGGAAGAGGGTGCAGAGAGAAAAATGGAGAATCAGGTTTGGAGGATCCATGTCAGTCAGTAAACAAGCATTTATTAAGGATTTACTATGTGCTGGAGACTGTGCATGTATCTCAAAGGTTATGACAAATGGAAAATAAACTGGGAATAGAGTGTATAACTTAGTCCTGTCCTGACAATGCCTGTGTAATCAGGGGCTGCCACTCATTTCCATCATGCCTGGAAGTCTTCCAGTACAGAGACCTGGCTGTGCCTTTTGCATCTTGAGGTTTTAACTGGATGCTACTCACTGTTCTGGAGAGTTGATATCTTCTCTAGGATCTTGGCTTGATCGTGAGGGCTCCGTTGTGTTCCACTGTAACTGGGTATTTTGATCAAGGTGATTTTTTAAAACAGCTTTTTCACCATCTGAGTGGAAAAACAAACAAACAAACAAAATGTTGTTCAACTTTCTTTTTGTACTCAAAACGCAATCTTTAAAACCAGGTGCATGCATCTTTAAAATGAAATAGTCACCAGTGTGCCATGTTGGTTGAAAGATAGGCCTATTTTCCCCAATCTGCCTTGTGGCTGGTGTATATAGAGTCAGCTTCGGTATTAGAAAGACCTGGGTTCTGGTCCAGCCTCTAACACAGTCTGGCTATGTGACCCTGGGCAAGTCACTTAACCTTTTAGGAATCTAGGCAAGCTTTTTTTTTTTTTTTTGGCTAGGCAATGAGGTTAAGTGACTTGCCCAGGGTCACATAGCTAGGAAGTGTCAATAGTCAAGCTTTTAAGATTATAAGTTATAGAGCATCATCATCATCATCATCATCATCAATCACTAGCATTTATATAGCCCTTTAAGGTTTGCAAAGTGCTTTACATTTATTATTATTAGTTGTGTCTGACTTGTTGTGATCCCATTTGGGGTTTTCTTGGCAAAGATACTGGAGTGGTTTGCCATTTCTTTCTCCAGCTCATTTTACGGATGAGGAAATTGAGGCAAACAGGATTAAGTGACTTGCCCAGGGTCACACAGCTAATAAGTGTCTGAGGTCAGATCTGAACTCAGGCCTTCCTGACTCCAGGCCCAGTGCTCCATCTATTACACCACCTAGCTGCCCCAGCACTTTACATACATTACCTTATTTGATCCTCACCACAATCTTAGGAGGTAGGTGCTGTTATTATCCCCATTTTACAGATGAGGAAACTGAGGCACAAAAAGATTAAGTGACTTGCCCAGAGAAGGTGCCAAACTGCATTGTTAGAATGAACTTCCTTACCTGGGAGTTCCCCAGACCAATAAAATCACAAATTCAGGTCCTATCCCCTATAAAATCTGTATGGTTGATAACTAGAGTTATTTTTCAGTGTATATGTAAATCATGTTTTCCTGTCAGAAAGCTCTCATTGTAGAAGTTCAGCCTATATTTAAGCTTACCTTTCACTCTGACCAATACGGCATTCTTCTTGGTTTTGCAAATATTTTTTGTCAGTGCCAAATTCTCAGTGTGTGTGTGTGTGTGTGTGTGTGTGTGTGTGTGTGTGAAAGATAGAGAGAGAAAGAGACAGACAGACAGACACACACACACACAGATCTACCTCCTGCCTCTGCTTTCTTAGTGACCTTGCCCATTGAACACTCATGCTGAATGGTTCACCCCAGATTTGGGGTGAAGAAGAAATGGGGGGCTCCAAATACTATACCTTGGGGCATGGAACCAAATACCACTGTCTCCTCTTTCTTTCCTGACCTTCAAGATTCAAGGGAAAATGGAGTCTAGTGAATTTAAGAATTATAAGTAGAAATAATGTGGTCTATATTAACATCAAGATTTAAAAAATGTATAGAGACATTTAAAAAAAAGATATATTATGAACTGTTAATCTTGCTACTCTAGAGACGAAAAAAAAATAAAGTGTTTAACTTAGAGAGAAATGAAAATGAAATGTATTTTTAGAAAACACAACTGTACATCTTAAGGGTTTTGCCTACATCTTACCTGTCTAAAGCTGTAGCCTTTGTTGATGAGTAAATGGCCCTGAAAGAGAGAGCTCAGAACTAAACTAGCACGGTGTCCATGGGGCTTTGTCTCAGGTGCTGACATGGGACATGAGCTTCCTAGGAAGAGGAAAGATATGCTTCCAGGCTTTCTGCACGTGATGACTATTATTGTTCTTCAAACCTGGACTCATAGCCTTTTAGTGGCATTGGGCAAGTGCCTCTTTGGGACAGGTCACCCACTCCCTGCAGAAGGGCACCTGCAGTAGGACTATCCTCTAATCCATTTTGTCCCTCTCCCCAGTGGACTGTCCTTTACGTTTCCACAAAGTTTCTTATCCTGTCTTGGCCCAAGGTGCAGTTTTGTCTAGGTAGAGCTTGGAGAGGCCAGAGTTGGGCCTGGGAAAGAATGGCAATGTGCTTATTCTACCATGTGCTGAATGGACAGCTCCCGCCTTACCTGTGCTCTCTGTAAAGTTCCTTATATTGAGGATGTCATTGAGCTCCTGATAGTGGTTTTGCTTAATGTATGTTGTCTTCTCTGGCGTGTCTTGTAGCTGCATAGTGACTTCTTCTAAATCTTTATCCAGCTGGAAAATAAGAATATCACACCTAAGTCAACAGACAGGGCCACTCATGGTTGAACAAGATCCCCTGCTGTATATAGTCAAGTAAACTACTCAGGTACTTGTCTAGAAGTAACATGGCTCCCTATAAAGTTGTTTGACTTCAAGAAGGCCTTGATTTACAGTTAGGGGAGCTGGGTTTGAATCCCATTTATCAGTTGTGTGACATTGGAAAAATCCTCCTCTATAAAATGAAGGGGTTGGATTAGATAAGAGCTATCAAACATGTGGCCCAGATTAAAATGTAATTGGGAAATGTTTAACAAAACAAATAAAAACACAATAAATTTATTTATTACATTTTAAAACTATGTCAATAGTTGGCCCACAGGGATCTTTATGTACAAATTAGTGTCCCCTGTTTCTGTTGGGGTTTGACACCGTTGGACTAGATGTTCTCTAAGATACTTTCTAAAGCTTAAATCTAAAGATGCCCTAAAAGCTTAAACACCCAGAAGGAAAACCCACTATTTATGGGTCTTTGAGAAGAAGGAAATGGAAGGCAATCCTAATCTTACTCATAGCATGATGGCAGTGGAGTAGTGATTCCTTGTTATATGTGGAAACTCTGTTCCTGATAGAGAGCCAGACTTTCCCTGATACCATGAGATATCCTATAGTGGAATGGTGGCCTTAGGGAGAAAGAGAAGTGAGACACTGGGAGTGTTCCAGCAGAGATTTGGTGCACATTTCTCCCTTCTTGTCAGGAATACTGAATAGGGGAGTATTGTACTAGATGGAGATTGGACTGGATCACCGCCCTTCCAGCTGTAAGATTCTAGAACCCAAAAGGGTAAATGGGGTTTGATATGCAATTTGCAGGTCCCCTCTGCAATGTAAGACTCCAGAAGGGTTAGGATTAGGTTCTAAAGCTCCTCCTGTCCCTACTGCACTGTTAGATGCTAGAAGCGATACCTCTGTGATTTTCATTCTCAGGCGATGATTTTCAGATTGTAGCCCTTCTAGTCGAGATGTGCTGGCCTGGTTCACACTGGTGACTGAAGTGGATGTTTTAGAATCTTCTTTCTTTTGATTTTGAGTGAACTGGAACCGTCTGTTCTGTGTTGCTGCATCTGGGTTGGTCCTCAGTGTGATGAGCTGAAAGGTGGGTAACAGAGCTGAAAAGAGACCTCAAGAATGTTGTTTGGCTGTTCCCCACTCTATTCCTCAATCCTTCACAATCAGTTCCATGGAAGTTTCATCAGTAAAGGTAACCAAGAAGTTGGGGGACACTCAGACAGTCTTAGCATAATGGAAAGAGTGCTAGATTTAGAATCAGAAGATAAGGGTTTGAATTCTGACTCTGTCATGTAGTTGGGTGACCCTGAAACTGTATGACTTAATTTTTTGGGCCTCAGTTATCTCATCTCTAAAATGGGGGCAATCCTACCCATCCTATGAATCCAAAGTGAACTACTTTGTGACCTACAAAGTGTAATGTGTTTAATAATAATGTTATTTTTGTTGTTATTGTCATTATTAATTATCCAAGTAGAGAAGATTCTCATTTTTAAGAAATACATTGCTTTAAACCCTCTGAACTTTGTTCACTGTGTTTTTCAGAAAACTTTCAGCAGTTATCAGTTAAACAGAGCAAACTCAATTCTGAATGATTCATTTATTAATTAGCAAGCAACAATTTGTTGTTGGATCACTGTGCTTGGTAGAGAGTAAGAGTGGAAATAGAAGACATCCCTGTCCAGGAAGTTCACTGTCTAATAAGGGGAGCAGAAAATATAGAAATGTATGTATCCTTCTCATGGAAGGGACATAAACAATATCCAATAATGGCTGTTTAGGGAGGTACTAAGTGTCAAGGGCCCTGGGAGGTAGAAAGTGACCAGGCTGGAGGTCAGTAGAGTGGAGTTTGTCCAGGAGGGTTCCATTGCAGGGGCTGAGCCTTGGACAGAATAGTAAGAGAGGAGAAGAATGAGGTTTACCCCTTGTTTATAGGGAGTCCCTCATCTATCGCTAAGGTATATATTTCCTTACACTTCCTCAGGGGCCAAATATAGACTTTCCCATACATTGACTCTTATGTATTCTTCTTAAAACATCCTCTTTCCATAAAGCTAGCAACATTTTCATTTCAACAACTCAATGAGCAGTTATTAAGCTCCTACTACGTACAGGGTGCTGTGCTAAAATCTGGGAATATGAAAAAGAATAACAGTTCCCTACCTCAAGGAACTTACATTCTTCTTAGAGATATGGCATGTACACAGAGAAGTAAATAAATTCTCATAGAATGTAAGCCACTTGAGGGCAGGGCCTATTTTGTTTCTATCTTTGGATCCCCACAGCCCAGAAGGGTGTCAAGTCAACTAGCATTTATTAAGTGCCTACTTTGTGCCAGGGACTGTGCTAACTGTGTGTGTGGGATACAAAGAAAGGCAAAATACAGTCTTTGCCTTCAATGAGTTCACAGTCTAATGTTCTGGCACATTTATAAATGCTTGTTGATTGACTGAAAAATACCAGATGTTTTGAGAAGAGAGAGAGCATTAATAACTGAGGAGGGGGATAATGAAAGCTTCATGGTGGGGGGGGCATTTAAGATGGACCTTAAAGAAAGTCAAGCAGTTTGGGAGTCTGAGAAGCCTTCAGTTCATCCAGGTACAGAGCTCACGAAGGAGTTGAGTGGAGAGATGATAATAGAACCTGTGGGAGTTGATGAGACCACCAAGAAAGAGAAGAGGGTCCAGGACAGAGGCTTAGGGGACACTTATGGTCTGGGTATTCCCTTAGATGTTAGAGCTCTCTCCAAATGTGCATTTATTTTGTATTTTCTCATCTACATTTATGTTTCTTCTCTCTAATTTTTTTTACAGTAAAATATAAAATAAATTTAGTGGATGAATACCGAATTTATATTTAGTGAATGAACACTGCCAAATAAAATGCTATTCAATCAAATACAGAACTATCATATGTAGTAAGAAATCCATTAAAAAAGGAGTCAACAATGGTTGAAAACAGGCTATTAAAAAGACTAGTCTTTTGTTTAATATTTGGAAAATAAGGATAGCAATTTATCATGATTTATATAAGCAGAAGAGCATTTCAAAAGTTTTCAATAAACTTTCACATTTTAAGTGGACTATGGAACGCATTATTAAAAAGAATTCTAATGATAAATCATTTAATTTTTAAAAATTTTATACAGTAAAGAATTGGTTCCTGATTTGCAAAATACAAACATTTCATATTTATGTCGGCCTTCCTAATCCTTCTATGTAGCCTAGGAATGATCCTTAGCCCTCTAATAAGGCACTGATATCTAAGTCATCTGTCACCACTTTCTGGAAGACTTCCCCTCCCCAAAACAGTTCTCCCCCCACCCCATATAACCCTATTCTGACATTCTGGTGTCCTATTTATTAGATCATCCTCAGCCCTTCTTACTCTCCCAAGTCTAGCTAATTTATCCACATGATGCTCACACTGGCAACTATCACATAAATTTTGCCTTACATGCACAGTATGTAAAGGAAAGTCTTTATTGAAAAAAACAGTTCTCTATGCTTAGAGGGCAGCTAGGTGGCATTGGGGACAGAGTGCTGGGCTTGGAGTCAGGAAGACTTATTTTCCTGAGTTCAAATCTGGCTTTAGGCACTTATTAGCTGTGTGATCCTAGACAAGTCACTTCACCTTGTTTGCTTCAGTTCCCTCCATCTGTAAAATGAGCTGGAGAAGGAAATGAAAAGCCACTGCAATATCTTTGTCAAGAAAACCTCCAATGGGGTCACGAAGAGTTGGGCATGACTGAAATGACTCAACAACAACAATACAGGACAAAAGGTGAATGTTCAATTAAAAATAAGTTTGATAAAATTTTATCCTAGAAGTGATAGGGAGTCACTGGAATTTATTGGGTAGGAGTGACATGGTCAGACTTATACTTTAGAAAAAATCACTTAGGCAGCTATGTGGAGGTGTTTCTTCCCTCTAGTAGAACATAAGCTTATTGAGGGCAGGGACTATTTCATTTTTGCATAGTGTTGGTCTTCCAGAAGGTGCTTAATAAATGCTTGTGGAATGTATAACCTATATATATCAAATTGCTTGCCTTCTTAATGAGGGAGAGAGAGAATCTGGAATTCAAAATTAAAAAAAATGTTAATTGTTTTTATATGTATGCTTGTGGAATTGAATCAAGAGACAGGCAGAGAAAGACAAAAAAGTGGTTTTATTAGCTCCAAAGATGGGAGTTAGCAGAGGTAAAGTATTCTTGTATACTACTACTACTACTACTACTACTACTACTACTACTACTAGCCAGCATTTACATAGCACTTTAAGGTTTGCAAAGTGCTTTCTGAATATTATCTCATTTTATCCTCACAACAACCCCGGGAATTAGGTATTATTATTTTCCCTGTTTTACAGATGAAGAAACTGAGGCTCAGAGACACTGAGCAATGTACCCATGGTCACAGAGCTCATGTCTGAGGCGGGACTCAAACTCAGGTCTCTTACTACTCTAGGCGTATGGCTCTTTCTAGTACACTCTGCTGCCTTCAGTGTTATGGTTCCTAACTGCTTTTGCACAGGACTCTACCAGGGGAATGCCAGATGATGATAAACACGGCAGTCAGAGAGAAAAGCTCTTTAATAAAGTTATTAAGAATCCTATCACTGTAGATGTTGGGCATACATATTTCATAGTTAGACACCCAATTTCAAGATCATGTCATGGGATCACTTTTAATTTGTTTAAACTCTGACTAATTATTTTGAGATGAATTCTCATTTTTCTCTAATTTTAAATAAAACTCCACACCCAATCTTTTGTCATCATTATGCACAATTACTTTGAAATGAATGACCATGGTAAGAACAAAAATAATGATGAAGAAAGGGGGAAAAAGCAACATTTCAGGCCCGGAAGTTTCAAACAGACTGGCTGTCACTTAAACAGCCATTGAATGTTGTCTCTGGAGAGATAATGGAAAAAAAACCAAAAACCCAGCCTGGCACCAATCAGTCAGTTTATTCTTCCTGACATCTTTATCTACCTTTCCTCAACTCTGCCTCCCAACAAAAATGCAGCTGGAGAAATGGCTCATTTGTTCATTCAATTTAATAAGCATTTATCAATTGCCCGTTAAGCATCAGACACTGAATGAGTCGCTGACAAAGATGAGATAGTCTTTGCCCTCAAGGAGATTATATTTTATTGTGGAGATTCCACAGGCCCACAGATAAGTAAGTTAACTAATTTATTCATTTCACAGACATTTAAGCATGAAGTAATTAGGTGGTAAAAGCACTGGATTTGGAGTCAGGAGGATCTGAGTTCAAATCCTGCCCAAAGAGTTATTAGCTGTGTTACCCTAGGCCAGTCACTCAATCTCTCTCAGTCTCAGTTTCCTCATCTCTAAAGTGGGGGTAATGAAAGCACCTACCACCCAGGGTTATTGTGAACATCGAATGAAATAACATATGTAAAATGCTTGGTAAACCTTACGGGGCTATAGAAATGTCAGCTATTATTTAGTGAGCACATACTGTATACACAGCCCTGTCTAGGGCTAAATGTTGTGGGAGAAGAGATGTGCACCAAAAAAACCATGCTTACAGTGACCATGTTGCCCAAACCCACATTTAGGACATATGACGTGCATTTTACTTTACTCCCACAATTGTGCAAACTTTTTTATTTGTGATAGACAGACAGACAGACAGACAGAGACAAGTAGATGGGCCAATCGGGGTCTGCTATTTACATGAGAGGGTATATATAGGTTTCTGTAGATTGGAAATAAAAAGAGCTGACATTTCTATAGCACTTTACCATTATACAGCTGAAAAAACTGAGGCTAAATGACTTGATTCAAGTTACAGAGCCATTTTTTGAAAGCTTTGGTTTGACCATGTCATGCTCTGCTCAATGAGCTTCAGTGGCACCCTGTTCTCTCTCTCCAGGATCAGATATAAAGTGCTCTGGTTGGCATTTCGAGTTCTTTCTTTCCACCCTTCTTATATCTTATTCCTTTCCACGCCCTCTGCTGCTGCACAGGGCCCTCTTGCAGTTTCTAGAACATAATGCTCATCTCCCTTCCTGAGCTTTTACACTGGGATGCTTGGTCTTGTCA